GGGCTGCGGCCGCCTCTTCACTGCAGGGTACAGCGGGAATACCTGGAAGAGGGGGGAGCGCTACTTCTTTTTGCACACATTCCAGGAAACTTTCTGGGTGGATGCTCCCCAGCCACCAAAAAACGGTGAGGGCGATGCTCACCTCCCTATCATTGGTGTCTGCAAGAGTGCCTGACCTAGGGCGGGAGCCTGCTCATTGTTTTTAGTAAATAGATTCGTGAAGAAGGGAATGGGCACTTTGCATCCCATAATGTCTTCCTGAGTGCATGCACTTCACAAACAAGTGTAAGATAAATGCTTAGAGAGCACCAGTGTTTAAAAATAAATATGCGGTCTTATGTAAGGGGTAACCACTGCCACACGTTAGGAAGCACTTTAGAAAGGAGGGATGGCCCTCCTGTTCCAAACTCACTAAAAGTCAAATTCAGACAAATGAGCACTGGAGTATATATTGTGCGTTGTCTGCGATTGTTTCCACAACAGTAGATAAACTACAGAGCACACAGGTGTTGTCAGAATCACAAATTGGACTTCAGAATCTATAAAGTTCAGAAAAGACTGTCTCTGACATTGGGATGACATGGAGGATATTACACGTAATATGGACAGACAATACGGAAAGAATCCTAGGCAGCCTGTCTGTACACTGAAGCTCCTTTGATTCACTTGGATTGGGAAAACTTGGGTCATGTGGTTGAGCACAAGCCAATCACTGAGGCCTTGGGATGCGGGATTTCACTGGTGCTCCAGGCTTTCCACGGTGTCTGGGAGCTTTGGGCGGGGGGAGGGGTCTGTAACACCCCTGGAGCCTGAGGGGAGCCCCACAGACCCACATTAGCTGTGAGTGGGACATACTATGGTTCCCCAAAGGAAATTAGGTGCCTTCCTACCAGAACAGGGAGGATGGATGCTGGGCAGGCAGAGTCAGCATATGTTCACTGAAGACGAAAGCAGAAGGCCGGAAGCTATTCCTTTCCCGTTCAAATAAGAGGTAGCCTTGGAGATGAACTTGAAGTCTGAGCTGGATTGAACTTGTGAAGATGAAGTGAGGGTTAGGGAAAGCGACTGTGCATTTCCTTGCATGTTGGTTGTGTGTCCTCTGAAGTTTAAGTCCCATGAAGGCAAGTCTATCTCCTTATCTTCTTTGTGATTGTAACCCCCGTGCCAGCACAATGCCTGTTACTTAGCAGGTCGTCGATAAATATTTTTTACAGTAAAATTTTTAAAAGATATTAGAGCCTATTTAACACAAACTTCTTATTTTCAGGTGTGCTGAGCGTGTTCTGTTTCCAGGCAATCTGTCAAGCAGTCTATCGACCATTTATTTCGTTTTCCGCCCAAGTAGGTTTTAACATCTCTACAAAAAGCCTGAGGTTTGCATGGCCAGAATGCCCGGACCAGGGAACACAGTTACTAACAGGGAGGACAGGGAGTATGGATGGAAGCAGGCTCTGAAGGGACAACTACGAGTGACAGGACCAGGAACCACAGAGCAGAAGCACCAGAGCCAGAACCACAGGGAGGAACCCGGTACAACCATCTTTAGCTCCCGTGTTAAAGGCGCAGACTCACAAACTAAACACAGCGCCACAACTTGTGACAAATATGGTTTCCTCTGCCAGCAGGCTTCAGCTCCCTAATTAGAAACAAACAGTCGCCCGCAAACCAGTGTGCAGAACACACGTGCAGCTTTTTGCCAGAAACTGGGATTTTTCTTTTTCCTCAAGGCATGACACTGAAGGTAAATTCAAACAGGCTCTCTGCCAGGCACCTAAAGCAGAATTTCCTCCCACCTCTGCTATGAAACCCACAGCCCGTCTCTACAAACAAAGGTACATCACCTGCTAATGAACTCAGGTCACAGTCACTGCCCCCACAACCAGTTGCTCACCAGCCAGGGTCTCTGCAACAACTGTGACATCAAAACCCCCTGATTAGTGTCACTCACCTCCTTCCAATTCTCCTTTTCATGGATTCTGAGCTGCTGGGTTCTACAGCCATAGTCAGAATGATCTAAAGCCAAGCCACAGAGTCGCAGTGCCACTGGGGTTCCCAAGCCGCAGAGGATCCTCCAGCTCTGGGCAGATCCACTTGCCGGGTCTCTGTTTGATAACATAAGGGGAGGCATCCGCTGACTGTCCTGTGCCAATCTGAAAGGCACCCCTCCCACCAGTGTGACAAGTGCAACGCTGGAACGGAGCCAGGGAACAAAAGGGAAGAAATGTGGGTTCTTACCAGTGCCGTTGATACCATTTTTTAAGGATGGCAGATGATGAAGGGGAAAAACAGGCAGAGAGTCAGTGCCCTGCATTCAAAACCTTGGATCCTTCTCTGAATGAGTCAGGGTGAGCATTTTGTTTTGAAATTGAATTTCTGTTTTCTCTCTTTCTTTCTTTTTTTCATTCGAGCTGTAGGATGGTTACATCCTCAACTAGTCAAGGGGACTGCTGTAAATACCAGGATTTATTTTTGAGGCTTTGGATCAAAAAAGAACCTTGCGTCTCCCCCCAGGGCTATTTATAGATCAAAGTGTGTTCTTTTTTTCTTTTTCTATTTCATGTGATTCTGAGAATTGACTGATATGTCTTCCTCTGGTGTTTCTCTGTATGCCTGAGATGAGTTGTTATTACTGGAAAGTCGCGGAGAAAGCCCTCCGAAGATGCTAAGAGTCAAGACAGAACTGACACGTGTACCCCAAGCCAATGCAGGGATCGCATCTCCCACTGTCTGTCGTTGGTCTGTGTGAAGACCCTGCATGACCTCTGGTACCTCTAACAGCTTCATAACAAGCCGAGTTACAAGGGTGCCTTATTCTTTTGTCGACCGATAGGTGGCATCAAAATGCCTCGAGCTTTACTTCATCGCATTTTAAAAATCACACACAGGCAGAGAGCATTTCTTTCTGCAATTTTCTATTTTACCATGGGTGATGTTTTAAAGGACACTAAATCAGCTCTCTAGTGTTCCAGAGTAGATTATCCCATTTACCTCTTAATTCGGCCTCTCAGTCACCCCTCTAAGCCTCAGTTTCCTCACTGTGAGAAGAAGCTGTTTGAGTTGAACTCCAGCTCTGGGATTCTGCTTTTCAGCTACATAATGTCTGCCTTGCTGCATCATTTCTTGTGTGTGTGATAAACCCAGCAAGATTCCTTCCTTTGAGTTTAAGGAATGTTAGCATGCAACTGTCACCCTGTGGTGGAGACCGCTATTTGCCTAGCCTATAATTGTTTTTATTTGTTTGTGTTTCCTTACTAAGAAAAGCACAATTTGAGGGAGGTGGCAATGTGTCAGTCCCAAACCCACATTATCCAGCCTTTCCTGTAGTTGGGGTAGTCATGTGCCAAATGGTCTAGCCACTAAACACATGTAACTTCCTAAATTCGAATTTATTAAAATGAAGAAAAATTAAAAATTCATTTCCTGGGCCGCACTAGCCACATTTTTAAATCTAACAGTCACAGGTAGCTACCATGTTGGGCAGTTCGGGTGCAGAACAGTTCCACACTGCTTTCCACACTGGTCTAGCCATTGGGATGTCATGAAAAGTTCCAGAGCAGCTTCCATAACAGTCTTCAAAGGGAGGGACATACTGACTCAGCTGGCTGGTACCTTTATCTCCTAGCCCCTCCCAGCCCCTCCCTCCTCTCTATTGGAAGGTGAAGGTGGGCTGGGTATCACATGACTGGGAAGCAACCAGCGTCTGTCCAGGCAGGCTAAGCAGAAAGAGAAAGAGCCTGGGTCTCTGATACCCTGAAGGCAACCACATCGTCAACAATTTTATTATGAGAAAGATAAAACCACCGGTTGATATGAGCCACTATTTTCAGCTTTTTATTACTAACAACCAAATGTATTTCTAACTACTATACCCTCAGAAAGTTACCTGGACACTTTTCTACTAATGTCTTTGGATAAACAAGTTTCTCTCCAGTTTACTTTAGACAGAGTTTAGGACAAGGTCCTGGCTAGAAGAAATGAAACATCGTATCTACTCACAAAAAGAGAGTTATCCGTCATCCATTTCAAAATGCCAAATGGGCCAAAATGGGGGAGGTAGGACATTAACAGTACCCAAATAATTATACCCTATTTTATAGTTTGGCTGAAGAGCAGCTTTGCATTATCCTGGAGAAAATGTTACTAGATATTGAGAGAAAAGGAAAATAATATTTGAGCCTATTCTGTGTGCTAGAAACTTGGCTGAATAATTTAACAATATTATCATAATTAGGTCTCATGACAATCCAATAAGGTAAGTATGTGTATCTCCCTTCTTTTATAGATAACAAATTAAGGCTGAGGGATATTAAGTATCTTGTCAAAATCTACATAGCTCATTAGTTACAGAGATGAGTTTCAAATCCAGGCCTGCTTGGCTCTTGTCACAACCACATGATGAGTGAGTGCCTGGTGAGTGAGTGCCATCAGATGCTTCTCCATACTTGCTCATTTCAAGACTCTCATTCTGAGACAGGAGGGCAGGGGGCCGGGCACAGCCATTAAGAGTGATGCAGACATCAGCACCAAGATGGTGGAATATTCAACTCCCAGTGGTCCTTGAGCTTCATTATAGGCTCACTGAAATACAACAGCTGTTAAATGGCGCTCCTGCAGGGGCCTTGACAGTTCCTAGGCTGATCATAAAATGTCAAAAAGGGGGCCGTGGCCCGATTCCTGGGAACCCCTGCCCCTTTCCCAAAGTAGTTGGAATAACCCTCCCTCTTGCCCACATATGAAGTTACCAAGCCCATAAAAACTAACAACCTCGCACCTCGTGGTCTCTCTCTGTTGCCTTCTGAGATGGCCTGCACTCTGTCTCTGGAGTGTGCATATCTCTGAATAAGTCTGCCTTCACTTTACTATGGCTCGCTGTTGAATTCTTTCCTGAGTGAAGACAAGGACCCTCACTTGGTGCGAATGCATCCCAGGGACTCACCAGAGACCTCCACAACCATCCTCTTGCACCATTTTTCCTGCATTAGTTCCATCCTCTGTACCACCTTTCTCCATGGGCTTGATCCTTTTCTACCATAGAAAAGGTTGAAGACATTGATCTTCATCTAAACTGTAGAAATTGACCAGCCAGGTTAAAGCAAAAGGCTTTCCAAACAAGGACAAAACACAGACCAAGGTTCCAAGTCAGAGCAGCCATGAACTGATCCAGGACCCTCAGGTGACTGGGAAATCCACTTTATCTGGGGTAGAAAAGGGAGGCAAGGAACAAGAACTAAAGCAAAGAAGCCGGCAGGGGCATGTGTACAAAGGGTATCTTAAGACTTCCTTAAGGATTCATTCCTTGAATCACTTATTCCCAACTCTTGAGAGAGGTTCTAGAATTTTCCTTAATCCATAGTGAAATGAGAAAAACAAAAAGTTTTTTCTACAGCCAGATTAATATTTTGAGATTATCTTTTTCTTCATTGTTTTCTCCATGACACTGCATTTCTGCCATCAATTTCTTTTGAGGTTTTGTCATTTTACAAGTGTTCCTACTTGATAAAATAAAAGTACTTATTGTAGGCCAAAGCTAAACCAAGAAATGTGTTTTGAGATCAGTTCTGTGAAGTCTAAACATTTGGAAGTATCATCTGGAGGTCACTGACATTGAGGAAGTTTGAGTGGGCAGCATGATGATCAGGCAAGAGTTGAACTGAGAAGAAATTGGAGAGAGAAAATACTAGAATGTGGAAAATGGGTCAGGTCTCTCTTCATGGAAGTCATTCAGTAGTTACTTACTGAGCACTGTTCTGGGGTCAGGGGTTCCACAATGGACCAGACAGAGTCATCAGTCAAGTTGGGAAGACAGAAAATGAAGAAGAAAGAGGGAAAAAGAGCTTGGGAGTCATAGAGAGGGAAGAATGAGAGAGAAGGAAGGAAAAAGAAAGTATGTAGATTATAAAAACTCCCATGAAGGAGGTAAAAAGGGTGAAGAGACAGGGAATAACTGGGAAACGCCTCTTCAGATAGGATAGTCTGAAAGGGCTGCTCTAAGGAGAAAGAAAGCCTGAGAGCTGAGCATGCAGAGACCAGGGGAAAAAGCATTCCAGGCGCGGGGAACAGCATGTACAAAGGCCCAGAGGTGGGAAAAGTCCTTTAGATTCTTAATGGTCAGTATTTAGGGTCTGGACAAGAGAGGATGAGGCAGTTAGACCACACTAATCTTCTCTAAGGGGAGGGATGAAAAAGATGTGAGGAGGCTTCAATGTTACAGAAGACTTGTCTTGGCGGTTTTAGTAATTAAACACATTGTGAGCATCTAGTCTGCGCAGCACACTGGCCTAGACACTGGACTTGACAAAATACTGTCCCTGTTCTTCAATACCATACAGTCCAGCGCAAAGCATGGACCAGAAAAGGAAGCCCAGAGGGGTAATCCGCAAGACTCCCTGGGTGAGAGTCTACATCTACCTCGTGGACCAGTGACACAATCAGCCCCCAGTGACATCAGAGGACAGGAAGTTCTCTGGGTCGTGAGTGAGCTCAGGCAACCAACCTGCAGATGGTTATTTTGGAAAATGTGAGTCCATCCGTCCACAAGAGAGATTTAAAGGAAGGCCAGGATTTGCTGCAGCAGATTCCCCACCCTCATGTGATCTCCACTTCCTATTGCTTCTGTTTTCTTGGTGATTGTTCCAGTTTGGCCACCATCCATAATTACCTTTGGGGTCAAATATTTTCATCCATATATTCTGGTTGTGTGTCATCTTGTCCACTCTTTGCAATAAATCTAGGAGACATCATTAGCCCCAGCATGGAGGTCATGCCTTCAAAAACACATACTTCTTCTGGTGGAGGATGTCTTTCTGATTCCTAGGTCACAGGGCTGCCCTCTGTGTGGCCATGGACACTGGCTCCCATGGGAGGAGGGTACACTGCTGTACGTCATGGGCAGACCTCAGGGCTAGTGGGTCTTTTCCGGAGGGTTGTTAAGAGGCAGTGTGCAGAGTTTTTAAACCACATATCCCTAAAGATATCTTGGAATTACTAAATGAAATCTTACTATAGATCCTGGTTTGCAACGTGCTTTTTTACTTCTGAAAATATTAACCAACATCATAATTTATAGACTATGAAATAGTCCCACAGTTGGATAGAACCAAAGATGCTAAATGAATTCCTTGTTTTTGAGTATTTGTTGCCATCACCTCCCTGCTGTACACAGTCTCCCGAGCAAGCCTTTTTCGACAACGTACCC